CCTCTCCTTAGCCCATTGCAGTCTTGTTCTTTTTTGTTTACGTGTCAATGATGGTTTTCTTTTAGCTTTCCTGGATTGAAATCCCATTTCCTTTAGGCCATTTCTTACGGTTCGGCCACATACATTGGCTCCATCTTCCTCCCATTTATGCTTCATCTGTTTAGTTGTATGTTTTCAGTTTTCAAGATAAATGGCCTTAAGTTGTTTGTCTTGATGCTTTGATGTCTTTCTTGGTCTACCAGTACGCTTGGCTTTAACAACCATTCATGCTGTTTGTATTTGGTCCATATCTTGGATACAGCTGACTGTGAACAGCCCACATCTTTAACAACCATTCCATACTGTTTGTATTTGGTCCATATCTTGGATACAGCTGACTGTGAACAGCCCACATCTTCAACAACCATGTATGAAGAGTTACCTTTTTCAAGAAGTTTCACAATCCTCTCTTTTGTTTCAAGAGACATTTCTCTTGTTGGAGCCATGGTTCTTGCCACTCCACTTCGTCCAGCAGCCCTCCAAGGTGTCATGACTGCAGGTGTTTTAAGACTAACGAGCAGATCTAATCTGAGGCAGGTGTCCATTTAGGGAAAGGAAATTGACTGGGTGTGTCCTTATTTTCTACCTCCAATTTGAGTGATTCCATACTTTCTTCCCTGTGCTTTGTCAATAAAAGTAACATTCACTGACTTCCACAACGTTTTCTCTTAATTTCTTTGAGTGTTCCTGAAAGCCAACAAGTTGCACTTTGGAATGGCCTTATTATTGTATCACGTTTTTAATCTGAGTTTGTTTTACAGAATGAAATGTCTGACTGAGTGCTCATCCAAGACTGATGATTCCATACTTTTTGCCAGGGGTTGTATATGGTATGAATGTTTAAAGATGGTTACGTATTGATTCTAAGGGTATTGCTAGTGGGTTCATTCCTTCGAGCACAGCACTGAAACTTTAGTCCCACTTGCTGTTTGGGCCCCTCCCTGGTCTGTATAAATTGCGCTTAGATTGGGGTTCATCTTCCAAAAATAGCCTTTTTTCTTCAGCTGTTCAGGCAGTGAGGCCCAGATCTTAAAGGGCTACACCTATACGCATAGAATCTTGAGGGTTTACAGTACGTAACCAAAGTTCTATTTCATATAGACTTTGCCCTTTACGGCAATAGATATTGGGTTAAAGGCGAAGCAGGATGTAGACTATGCCTCACTGGGTCCGTTCGGTACCACTGTTATACAAACATACACCTGCTTACATTCCTAAAAACATCAGATTCCACCTTCATCTCGTGTGTAATTGCGCTGAGACTGTGCACCTGACGCACGTTGCGCACAAAGACAATAATCTCTGTGACAGATCAAAATTTGAAAAGACAAAATATTTTCCATAATGAACAGTCAGGAGAACTCACTGAAAAACATCCACCTCATTACTCAGAACTCTAAGAGCAGTACCTCTGGAGGCTGTGGTCCAGAGAAAATATACGCTTGTGAAGCAGCCTCACACAGCCAGTGTGACAAGCACTGAGCTGACAGAGGAAGTCCTTTAGACTGCTCTCTGAAAAGTACAAACAGACACTGAGAGCCGCATAAAGCAGTTGTGTGTGAGTGATAGCAGGAGCGAATGCCTACAGTACAGAGAAGATGGCTTCCTCCTCAGAGTTATGTGGAGAGGGAAAGAAACCATCCAACATTATAATTCTGGATCTGTGTGAGCTCATGATGCTTTTAGGAGTAAAAGCTGGATTCAGACGCAGCATAGCTGAGCTGCTCTCACCTTGGATTTTGAGGCAGGATGGAGCCACAGACCGAGCTGATGAATCACTCACTCTCTTTGCCGATGTCAGCACAAACAGCAGAGCTGTTTCAAGTGACAGAAACTTTAGTGATTTTCGATCTGTTAGCTTGATTTGAGTTTTAGTCAGTGTGTGTAAAACCAACACTAAATCCCACTGAGGAAGTAATGCACAAGATAGGTGAGGGTCTGAGCATTGCCTTTCAAGAAGTGTTTTATCAGAGAGTGATTAAACGCAGTTTCGTCACTGTAGCCCGCGTAACAGGAGGAAATGGCTGCAGCGTATGTTTTTTAATTGTGATGAAAGTCAATTTTCTGTCCATCAGCAGCTGGAGAAAAGATAAAATGTAGGGCAGGGGAAACGAGATGGCGTCCACGCCTTTCCCTACACACCAGCGTTGCCAAGCAGTCCATTTGGATGTGTAGGATGCTGTGGCGGAGGCTGCTCGTGCGCTCTGGATGGTGTGCACCACATCTTTAGAAAGACCCAGCCTCTCTAAGCGCCCCTAATTCAGGGGTCAGACTGAGTGGTCCTGATCTATTACCGGGAAGTTCCTGATCGTTCCTCCTCCCTGTAGTTGAAAACTGTGGACCAACTTCCACACTGTGAGGGGCTCCAGGAACTTTATGAGAAGAGACGTGAGCTGGCCACTGTCCTCTCACCACCAGACACACAACCTCCATCCCGAGAGGGATGCATCCCTGAACACAGAGATGTGAGATGTTGCTCTGCTCAGAGGGCTCCTTCTGATAAATTGTGGGGATTTTTCCAGTGGCGCAGATCAGCTTCCACCGAGGGGCGCACAGGATTGATACAAAAGCGGTTGAACTATCTTTGCAGGCGTCTTATGTGCAGCAGGCCCAGAGGGATCACCACTGGCAGGCCAGATACAGGCGGATGTAAACCTTGTGCTTCTTGATATGATGTTCTGTCTTCTACTCTTAGTCAAGTTCAATGCTGTGCTGAAGAAAAAAAGGGAGTTGAACCCCATTCTCAGCTCAATTTATACAGACCAGGGGTCGGATTTATAAAGCTTTTGGATGCACAAAAAACTTGCATACGCCACTTTTCACGCCAAGGTTGTGATTTATAAAATCCAAACTTGACGTGAAAATGTGCGGTGCCTCACACCAGCTCTGACCCATGCGTACACTCATTTTGGAGACGAGAAACTGCGACACAGATGGTGAAGTGAGGAATTAGAGCCACACTGTGTAATGATCACTGTCAGATGTTTAATTTACCTTCATCAGACTTAGATTTTTATTCAACTTTATCATCAGCTTTCTTAACAGTAATATTTATGCTTCTGCTGCTGCTGAGCCATGAGGACCTTTGAAATAAAAACTTAAATCTTAAAAGTTCACGCATGCATTCATCTCCTTCCTCCTCACGGCCCTGACCCACAGACCCCTCCCTGACTAGAGATATTTCAGCAAAGCACGACAGCAAAAAGCTCGGATATAGTCATGCTTTGGGTGCGCGCGCCCTTACTAGTGGATGTGTTATAAAAGATTCACTTTTGTGAATGTATGTCCGTATTTCTCACGCGCATGGAGTGTGTGTGTGTGTGTGTGTGTGTGTGTGTGTGTGTGTGTGTGTGTGTGTGTGTGGGGTCAGCCGTGGATAACAGGAAGGATCATTTTATTTGTTGTTTTTATCCCACCTGCAGGCTCTGAGAGAAAATTAATTTGAAGCTGAGTTTTTGATAAAAATCGTTAGATTACTCTAAACGTCTGTAAACCTGTAAAATGAGGGGAAATCTGTGTCAATTACTGACAATCTGTTCACGTGAGCAGCTGTCAGCACCCGTCATCCTCCAGACGCAGGACAGAGCGTGTCTGAACCAATCACTTTTATTGGCATTGATCAGCTGACTGATTTAAATACATCTTAACATTCATGAGGTACTTTACATTGACTGTTTATGGTTGAGTGTGGGCGTATAGAGGGCAGAACCTGAGGCGGGACCTTGTGCGCAAACTCTGGCGTGCGGCTGTGATTTATAAAGGGAAAGTGAGCAGAAATGTGCGTACGCACGGTTTTATAAATCTGATTTTTTTTTTTTTTTTTTTTTGTGTACGCCATTTTTGCTCTTTGGCCGTACATTCACTTTTAGTATGGTTTCCATGCAATCTTGTTTAAACTTGACCCCAGAATGGGATAAACCCACTAGTGATAGCCTTAAAAGGCAAAGCCTATACAAAATAAAGCACATAATAGCCTATTATTTGTTCTTATGTGAACCTCTAGCATACAAGAGTCAAAAAGTTGTGCTGGTACTGCATACACTGTGTATCTGAATGCAAATACAAAAATGACCGTGTGGACAGAAAAGGGAGTTAAAGAATTTATGAAGGCCTAAAATTGTTAATGTATTGCAAGGACTTTGATTTTGTTCTCTTGGATTTACTGTAAACAGTGACAATGTGTTGATTATGTGCAACACCTTTGAAATAAAAACATTAATAATAAAAAATATATATATAAAACAACCTTGAGTCCTACCTCACAGTTCCATCTGAGGAGGCAGACAACAAACTGCTGTCATCTCTGGACCAGCAGAGATCGTAAACTATTTTCAGATGGCCACTGAAGGCAGCTAATACTGTACCAGAGGGGATCTCATACACTGAAAAATAAGAACAGAAATATTTGTTACTCTCCCTCTCTGCAGTGAAGTCAGAGTTGTTGCAGAGAGAGGTGTGTAAAGTGCAGGTTTATTGGCTTAATAAAAGTAAATGAGCATTAGATTTGTAAAGAGGAGTTGTTTACCTATAACAGGAAAAGCATCTCTGTCAGCACAAGCAGCAGCCAGCATGGTTCCAGCACGAGAAAACAGCACAGTGAAACAACCCATCTGACCTCCACGAAACGCCAGGATATGCTTGTTAGGAACCCGACACATCTGCAACAGACAGAAGGTTTTTTCAAACTTTCATGTATCAAATATTGACAGTAGAAAAGATCCAGATGAGAACATAGAAGCTGAAGCCAGAATAGGACCAACAAGTGTTAAACACATTTATCAAAAAGAAAAAATCAGTAGGTCCTCTGGATGGTTCTTCTTTAGTGAAACGTTTCATCTCTCCTCCAAGAGACTTCTTCAGTCTGATGAGTTTCAGGTGAACTCAGCCTTATAAGCTCTGCCTGGGGGTTGGAGATTGGGGGGTGGTATCCCATCCAAAAGAAAAAAAAGTTTTTAAATTTATGATTAAATGCAACATAATAAATTTAATAAAAATAAATGAAATAAAAATAAATTTAATGAATTCCTGTCCCTGAGCTGTTGGCTTGAAGTAACTGAGCAATTTAGTTGGATAGCACAGTTTTAATGTCTGAAAATAAGCTGCTTAAAGTCAGCATCAACCATAAACTAAATAATATTTCTGTTTTTATTTCAGATTTAGTCAGTCATACACTTAGTTCTTATCAGTGTTTAAAAGAGGACATGTTAAAACACTGTTTAGGCAAAGTTAAAACATGAAACGTCAAAGTTCATTACAAGTGGCCCTTCGAGGGCCACCATGACGCTCATGTGGCCCTCAGAGAAAATGAGTTTGACACCCCTGCTCTATACCATACATCAGAACCAAATCAAGAATGTGATGAATGGAGTGAGTAGTTTTATGGACATTTTGACTAAAACCAAACTCTACCAAATTACTAAAAACTATGTTTAAGCTATCACTTTCATCATCTACATGAATACTGAAATCCCCCATTATTATAATTTTATCCGTTTTTAATAATAAATCAGAAAAAAAATCAGAGAATTCTGTCCTAGGTTATGAGTACTATTAATATTCATATTTATATATAGTAATCTTTTTAAAGGGTGGTTAGGGATGTTTTGACCGAACCAAATTGTTACACATTCCTCCACATTGCACTGCATTCAAATTTTGTGTAGCTAGCATATGTCTTGAGTCATGACTAAAACTAATATTCATATTTCAGTTGTTCACAAGCAAGGATGGGGCAAGGTTCACTGCTTTGTGAACAACTGCATAAGAAAACAGTGATTCAGTGAAACAATGTTTCTCAACATACAATTGCAAGGAATTTAGGGATTTCATCATCTACAGACCATAATAACTTTAACAACTCCTCCTTGGGATTTTGACCTACTGTATCTGCTTCAGACCTTGTCAGTTTTTAAAATTGTGAGCTTTCATGCATGGAAAGCTCCATCTCTGACCTTCTTCACCTAATCAGCATCAAATTGTGTCAGAACACAGATAACAAGTTGGTCTCACTTGCTTTCAAGCACAACAACTTTTTGCTGGGGGGCGTGGTCATGGCAGTGCAGTTTGGCTCTAAATTACAAATATTTCAGCCAATCTGCACCCAATTCACTATGATCGGTCCTAATCTATCTCCAACAGGAATGCAGTCCAATTTTTGGTGGGTGAGGCCTAGTTCCTCCATAGGAGGAACTGTGGTGAATTCCCCCTTCAATTATTTTAAAAATCAGCCCCAGTTCATGCTTTGACCAAGAATTATGAAATTCGGTACACTTGTAATGTATCAGGACCTACGAAAGTCTCTTGAAGCAATGGTCCTATAACACCACAGGAAGTAAACCATTTTGAATCAAAGCTACCATTTTGTCAATTTTATATATGTATCTGAGCCAACTCCTCTTACAGCTTCTAACATGCACACTTCACATTCACTCAGCACAGTCTTAAGGCATTGGACATCAAAACATATTAAGTTTTTGTTGTATAAAATCATGTTGTATATATTTTAGTTTGCCTCATTAATTCTTAATAATTTGTCAATGTGTTTTTATGCTCTGTTGTGTACTATTCTGTTTTATTGTGGAAACACTTTATGGACTGTGAAAAGCGCTAAACAAATAAAATTACTTATTTTAAAGTTTACATACTTGTAAAACCATTAATAATAATAAGGAGGCACGACAGCTCAGTGGTTAGCACCGATGCCTCACAGCAAGAAGGTCCTGGGTTCAATCCCCGGTTTGGACCTGGGGCCTTTCTGTGCAGAGTTTGCATGTCCTCCTCGTGCTTGCTTGGGTTTTTTTCGTGTACTCCAGTTTCCCCCCACCCCTAAAAACATCTACAATAGGTTGCCTTCAGGCCCAAACCACCCTTGAAAAAGAGATCTGAGATCTCAATGGGACTTGCCTGGTTAAATGAGGGTAAATAAAATAAAATAAATACTTGTGGCAGTTACAGACCTGACCCGGGAGTCGGCTCCATCTCAACACCGGCTGCTTGCTGTAAGGAGGTTGGGCCAGACTTCTCTTGGTGACCTCATTCTGCAGCTCACTGTAGAAGGTGCTGCCTCTCTCTTCCTGTAGAGCCATCATAGACCGGATACTGGGGTCCACCTGCACATCAAAAACCAACTCAGCTTCATTAAAGAAGTTCATACAACATTGTTCACTCAAAAACTATTACTTAACAACACAAGCATTACCTTCAAATGCGTACAGGTAGAAAGAAGAACATAAAGAAATACATAAAAAATGTCAACTTTAAGCTAGAAAAATGTGAACTCACATGCTCTGGGAGTTTAATCCCTTTCACTGTAACATAAAGGGTGGAAGCATATTTAGTTCTTGGATGTTTCCTCCACCACTCAAACACTTCTATAGTTTTAGGCTGCCTTTTTGCTCGAGGCAGAGGGCAGAAGAGCTGCAGGCGAAGCTTGTTATCAACATTTAGAACACCGTTCGTGCCAACAAGCTGAAAGTGTGAAAAATATGAAGCACGTATTAAAAATGCACAATACAAACCAATAGACACCAGTGTTTTGTTCTGAAAGACAAGACCACATGTGTTACCTTAAGAAAAGCCCACGCTATTTTTCTAAAGCCCTGCTCGTGCTTATCAGCATCAGTGTTGGCTTTTGCCTCTTCCATGGTCATAAAATCCAGGATCTTCATAAAACATTTAGAGAAAAAAAAACAGTCAGGGACGTTCAAATGTGAATGAACTATTTGTAATTAATTATGTCTTACTTCAAAGAAGAGGATGACTCTGGGGTTTCCATCATTTTGTCCAACAAAGTAACCAAAACGCTCATTGAATATGATCTGTTCCTGCCACTCAGGGATAATGGATTTGTTCCTCTTGAAGTTGAAAGGCTGAGTCATGATGGGGAGAATGTGGTCAACATTCTCCTGCTCGTAATATGAAGACACGGGCCGATGGCTTTAAAACGAAGAAAAGAAATCCATAAATAAAACGTTGAAACAACTAGACTTCTGTTCTGTAATTGAAGATGTTTTGCCTTCCATCTGAAAAGTCTCAAACTGCAGAGTGTCGTGTTTCAAGCTTTAAACTGGATGAAAAGCTCTGTTAGGTTTGGAGAAAATCCTCTTGAGTTTCTCAGAGACTCCAGCAACATATGGGACTATAATGTTTCTGTGCTTGTGTTGTGGTTTATAAATATTTAACAAAAACCGAAATATATGATTCAAAGAATAAAGGCACTTTGTAGAATTGAGTTTGTTTACTGCAATAAGCAAGGCACAAAGGTTAACAGAGAACCTATCAGCTCTCTGTCAGAATTCTATGAACTGACGCCATCCTTGAGACCCTCCTATATACCTCTGAGATACTTATGTTATCTGGACAGACAATGACATCATTTCTCAGCTCCTGTGTTGGGCCAAGGAGAATATAACAGTCTGTAATGGAACTAATACTTTTATGTTTAAGCAAGTAATTCATGACATCCTTTAATGACCTAGGTTTTCATGACACAGAGCCCCACCACCACCTCTGACCCTTCCACATAACAAAACAGACAATCCTGTTTGTGTTCAAGATGATCCAAAGACTTTTGTGTGATAACGTTTTGGAGGGTTTAGAAATGACTGTGGGAGGAATAAAAATTGAATTACTGGGGTTGGGATTTCAGAAAAGTACATATACTTAGGTTTATGTTGACATTTTTTTTAAATACATTAAAGAGTTTTTTTTGTTTTATTGATCATTTAATTGGTGATTTAATGATCAGATGGGGGAGATGTAATGGAACTAATACTTTTGTGTTTAAGCAAGTAATTCATGACACCCTTTAATGACCTAGGTTTTCATGACATGCTGTTCATCTGCAGATAGAATGATTAAAGTCAGAATAAGATTTGCTAACAACAGTCATTCTTAGATATCACTTGTGTTTATCTTTGTGTTTTCCATTGACCTTGTATCAAATCTTGCTAAGATGACATAATGGTGTTTGTTAATATATATATAAGACCTCTCGAGTGAGTGAGACAGTGTTCGACAGTGGACAGTGTGGAGAGACTGACAGAGAGAAGCAGAGGCACAGAGACAGGCCAGATTGTTCTCTGTGTTTCCTGCTGTTGCAGTAAAACTCAGCTGATCATCCCACGGAGTACCTTCATTCTTGTACCACGTATTTCTGTCTTTGTTAAATAAATATTGCCATAACACAGTCAGCTCAAGCAGCGGTACAGCAGAAGTCTGATGCATTGAAGGCTTATCTTAACATAAAAAAACAGCCTCTCAGGAGCAGCATCTGTCCCAGGCTGAATGTAAAATAAATTAATGTAAATATATAATGTAATGTAAAGTATACAGTTAAATTATTAAATATTTATTATAATATAAAGATAGTTTGTCACCTCTCAGGATTTTTGGGAGGAATAAGTTCTTCAAAATAAAACCACATTTCCTGTGTAGGGGGTCACCTCGATTGGAATAAACAAGAAAACTGTCTTGGACCTCAGGCCTCGGACGGGCCCTTTAAAGAGACAAAACTCTGTTCCACTTAAAACTGAATTTGGGTACTTGCAAATGTCTGGTTTGTTAACATCTACAGCCTGATGTTTGTTGTCCCTAGAGCTGTTGGATTAATAAGTAACTAAGCTCGAAGCGTGCTTGTTGTTGTTGATTCTTAAACTTCTTATAGGAAATTAAGTTGTCACCTTAAGTGTATAGTAGTGATTTTGTTTGATTGTGTAAATAAATGATCGCATTTATTGATGGATCAAAGCAAAATTCACTGAACTGAGTCACCTTTGTGTCGTGTCATTCACTTTGCACGGAGGAGATATTTTCCCTAATAAACAAAGATCACTTGTTACATAATTTCCTTATAACCTTCGTTATAAGAGATGTAAGATCATTACACCAGGATAGTCTTCAAGAGGTACTTTGACTTGGTGTTTCTCCAAAAATACACCGTAAAATTATTTATTCTAGGTATAGTGTAAGTAACTGTTTAACATGATATAAAAAGAGTTGTCACCTGGATTTTGGAGAAATAAATTTCTTAAAATGACAAAAATACATTTATTGGATAGTATTTATGAGGTACTTTGACTTTGCAGCTACATTCCCCTGCTCCTTGGGCTTGGACCCCTAATCAGATGTCAGTTAATTTCTGTGAGTTTCATTGTGATCTGTTTATTGGTTCATGATGTTTGGACTATGTGTTGGAAATGATGCTGAGTCACTATTAAACCAAAGTTTAGTTCCATACCTGCACAACAGACAGAGTTAGAATCAGTTTTATGTTTGAACATTGATTAGCTGTGGTGCCCACTAAATGGGACTGACTTCAGAAGTTAAACAGTAGGGGTGTAAGAAAATATCGATACACTGAAATATCGCGATATTTCATTTCCTGATACTGTATCGATATTCTAAAGCCCTGTATCGATTTTTAATTAAGGTTTAAAATGTCAACCTTCTTGCCAACAATTCATTTTTATGTTGTAGTTCAGCCTCTGACCACTAGTTGGCAGCAGTGAGCCAGCCATTTGGCTCCTCTACCTCTTGAGCGCCAGAGAGTAAGGGTAGCATTAGCATTGTAAGTAAACATTAGCTTTTTTTTCAGTAAGAGGTTTTTATTTAATAGAATTTTTTGGACAAAAAATTGCAATATATCGCAATATATTGCCTTGCTTACAGTAACCCAATATATCGGGATATATCGTATCGTGACCCCTCTGTTATGATATGTATCGTATCGCCAAATTCTTGCCAATACATAGCCCTATTAAACAGCTGCAGAAACAGTACATTCAGTGACTAATTTCTGAGAGTTTCATTAAAATCTGTCCACTGGTTCGAGATAATAATGCCAATGCTACAAACAGATGCAGGCAGAAACATTATGGCTGCTCTACATTTGGTGGCAGGCAATAAAAATAAGTCATAAAAGCTGGAACACATTTTGTGTAGTTACGTAAGATGAGAGGGTTTGTTCTCACCAGTCCTCTTTCTTCACATACTGTCCTGTGGTCTCATCAATGAGATGGATCTTCACCATGGGGTGTGAGATCATAAAGTCTGTATTGAGGCGATCTGTTCTGTGGATAAAGATTCCAAGCACAAGATTGGCATCAAACGTCCCCTTCTGTGGCTCTTCGGAGTCAGCTTCACTTTCTTCTTTAAAAACTGAAAGGTGGAGATTAGAACAGGAGTTTTATCAGTATCTACTTGTGTTTATTATCACTGTCTGTTAGCAAAATACCCTGCCTGGCCAAAAATGTGTCACCACCTGGATTTAACTAAACAAACAGTTTATCCACCCATTGGATAATTACCAGATGAGTGACTATGTTTCATCTGACAACAAGTTATTTAACTCTAACTGACGCAGTGAGCAGATTCTTATTTGTTAAACAATCATGTCTAAAGACACATCCTGTGGTTGTGGAAGAGATGTTCATCTGTTTCAGAAGAGTCACATAATTGGCATCAGACAGAGAAAACATCTAAGGAGATTGGTTAAACTACTAACATCAGGTTAAGAACTGTACAAAGAAGATTATGTGGTCTGATTAGTCCAGACCATAGACTTAAATATCACTAGACTGAGCCCCATCCATACCGTACACTGGTAGTGTCTGTGACAGCATGGAGGAGCAAAAACGGCGACCTAAAAGGGCAACAGTTCACAGCTTCCATAGAAACTAATAGATAAACAGCAGCTGAACTGGATCTGTTTCACAGATTATCTGTCATGTTTTTACAATAAATTAATAATTATGTTAATTTCATTCAACAATCATGTAAAACAGCAGATTTATACCAGAAAAATAAATAATTTATAAATAACAATGATCTAAACCAGACCTGAAGTCAGCCTGTAACTTGGACTTTAGCTAGTTGAAAAATGATGACTTCAGCTAGTAATAAAGTATATTTATTATTTTTTCTTACTGTTATAAAAAAAATAATTATTGTTATTTAGCAAACAGCAGTTAGAAAATGTTCTCTGGTTTTAGGATGAAACTTGTCTCTATTAGCTAACATCTTCTTAACAGGTCAGGTTCCTCTAACAGAAACCTAAAAATAATTACATTTATAATATTATTTTACACTCTGTAGGTCTAAATATTAATCAGACATTTATAATATTATTTTACACTCTGTAGGTCTAAATATTAATCAGAAGACAAATCAGCTGTAATATTTAATAGTTTGTGTTAAATTGTAGCTTTATTCAACAGTGCTAAACTCTGTATATACACTCCAAAAGCTAATATCTGCTAACCAGTTCAATAAATAACAGTGATTACATGGACTTTATAAGATTATTTTAATTTTAAACTGCTACATTATGTTCTGCTCAGATCACATTGAGCTAAATAAGATCAAATCTGCTGACTTGTGTTGTGAAATGAGACGTTTTCCTGTTTATCTTCTGTTAATAAATCCATAACACAAACAGCTTTTCTGACATTATTTAAAACATTAGATTATATAAACTGTAAAATATTAATAATAATTGGATTAATATTATTATTAATAGTTTTAATGATTTCTACATCGTCAGTCCTTTTTTTCTGCTCTGTTGTCAACATGTACAGTGATGGGAAATCCAGACTCTTGCCCGTTTAGCGTTAGCCTTTAGCTTCTCCAGACGATCACATGGTCACCTGGTTTCTGAGCTCCAGCTGTTCTATAGAACCTCCTTGGTCCAGACTTACATAATTGTTGATAGATAATAACAACAACACATACTCTGAACATCTGAGATCACTCATAGTGTTATTTTTAAGTTTTAACCAAAATGGCTACAACTCTGTCTTTTCTCTGCATGACACAATCTTAGTCTGAAACTTTGGTATGAAAGTTTTATGCCAAAGCAGAGAAAACATCTAATGTGCGAGATGAAACTACTAAAATCAGAGTGCTGAACTGAAGGCTCTGTTAGTTAATGATCTGATAACTGATTATCATATTGATTTATTCTGTCTTACTGAAACCTGGTTACAACAGGAGGATTTTGTTAGTAAAGGAATCCACTCCTGCTAATTATTTAAATTTTCATGTTCCTAGAACAACAGGTCGAGGTGGAGGAGTAGCTGCAGTTTTTCAGTCAGAATTATTAAATCAAATATTAGTTATAATTCCTTTGAGTCTTTGTACTTCAGTCTTTCTCATCCAAAATGGAAATCGGGAAAACCTCTGTTACTTGTTGTTATTTATCGTCCTCCAAGCCCTTATTCTCAGTTTTTATCAGAGTTCTCAGATTTTTTTGTCTGATTTATAAAAACTGATACAATAATAATAATAATGGGGGATTTCAATATTCATGTAGATGATGAAAGTGATAGCTTAACTTTTAGTAATTTGATAGTCAATTGATTTTACTCAAAATGTCCATAAATCTACTCACTCTCTCTCACACTCGATCTGGTTCTGACGTATGGTGTAGAGAGAGTAAGAACTTAATAATACTTCCTTACAATCTTGTTCTCTCTGACCATTTTTAATAACATTTGAGTTTATATTAGCTGACTTCACAGCTATTGAGTAAATTTCATTATAGTAGATGTTTATCAGAGAACGCCGCAGCTAAATTTAAAGAATCTCGTCCATCTTTATTTTCCGCTGTCTTACAGAATAATGTAACAGAACAGTAACTTAGATGGTCTTGTTGGTAATATTATAACTTTAATGCAAACCTCTCTTGATGAAATTGCTCCACTAAAAAAGAAAGTTATCGATCGGAGGAAGCCGACTCCTTGGTTTAATTCAGAGTTACGTTCTTTAAAACAGGCATCTAGAAAACTAGAAAGAAAATGGCGCTCCACTAACATAGAAGAATCTTATTTAACCTGGAGAGACAGCCTGCTAACCTATAAGAAAGCCCTTCGTAAAGCTAAAACTGTCTATTATTCATCTTTAATAGAATGGAATAAAAACAATCCTAGGTTTCTGTTACTGTAGCTAAACTAATGAAAAGTCCTATCTCTGTTGAGCCATGTATCCCTATAACTTTAAGTAGTGATGACTTCATGAGATTCTTTATAGATAAAACAATTTTAATAAGGAATAAAATTCATGCCAAACTTCCTGCTACTGTCTCTGATTCTCTGTCAGATGAGGCAGCTTTAGTGTTACTAGAACCTGATTTATGTTGGACAGTTTATGTCCTGTTGAGCTCTCTGAACTATCTAAAATAATCGCTTCATCCAAACCATCAACATGTCTGCTAGATCCCATCCCAACCAGACTGTTCAAAGAAGCATTTCCCTTAATTAATATCCATATTTTAGATCTAATTAATTTGTCTCTAATGAATGGTTATGTGCCACAGAGCTTTAAGGTTGCTGTAATTAAACCTTTACTTAAGAAACCTGATCTTGATTCAGGAGCTCTGGCCAACTATAGACCTATATCTAATCTCACATTAATCTCAAAAATTCTTGAGAAAATAGTTGCAAATCAACTACGTGAACATCTGGATAGAAATAATCTAAATGAAGAGTTTCAGTCAGGGTTTAGAGCTCATCATGGCACAAAAACAGCACTGGTTAAAGTTACTAACGATATTCTCATGGCCTCAGACAGAGGACTTGTGTCCATTTTTGTCCTGTTATGTCTGCATTTGATACAATCGATCACAATATTTTATTACGTAGACTTGAACTTGATATTGGGATTATAGGAACAGCTCTAAAATGGTTTGAGTCTTATTTAACTGATAGATTTCAGTTTGTTAATGTTAATAATGAATCTTCTGCTTACACCATAGTTAGTCATGGAGTTCCTCAGGGTTCAGTGCTTGGACCAATCCTCTTTGTGTATGTTTCCTTTAGGCAAAATTGTTAAACAGCATGGGATAAATTTCCATTGTTATGCTGATGACACTCAGTTATATTTATCCAACAAACCTGATGAATCCAACCAGTTACTTAAACTACAAGCATGTCTTACAGACATAAAAACATGGATGACTCTTAATTTTCTACTTCTAAACTCAGATAAAACAGAGGTTATGTTTTTTAGACCTGAACATATTAGAGATCAACTTTGTAGTCTTTCAGCTCCTCTGGATGGCATTAATCTGGCCTCCAATTCTAATGTGAATAACCTTGGTGTTATTTTCAATCAGGACATGTCTTTTAACCATCCCCATTAAAAATTTTACCAGGACCGCCTTCTTCCACCTGCATAATATTACTAAAATGGGAAACATCTTGTCCAAATATGACGCAGAAAAACTGATTCATGCATTTATCATGTCTAGACTGGATTAATGTAATTTTTTATTATCTGGACATCCAAAAAACTCTTTAAGAAGTCTTCATTTAATCCAAAAAGCTGCTGCTAGAGTTTTAATGAGAGTTGGAAGGAGAGATCATATTCCTCCAGTTTTAACTTCTCTCCACTGGCTCCCTGTCAAATTCAGAATAGAATTTAAAATATTACTCCTAACATACAAAGCTCTTAACAACCAATCTCCATCATATATTAAACATCTTATTGTTCCATACTTTCCTAACAGAGCACTTTGCTTAGTTATTATAGTTAATTAGTTATGCTGTTAAAGACTTAGACTGCTGGAGCACAAACTGACCACATTTCCTCACTCTGCTGTTATCTTTAGTCACTCTCCTCTACATGTTTATTTTTATTCTATCAATAACATGTTTTCTTTGTCTCTCTTCCAGAGGAAAATACACCTAGACCAGACCTGCTGGCTTCTTTAGAGTTATTGTTTTGTTTTTGTTTTTTGTTTGTGTGTGTGTGTGTGTATGTACAGTGCCCAACAGTTGTGACTTGGCACTTTAGAAAAAAACTGAATTTAATTGAACTGAACACTCCCACAATGAGTGATATGCACCGTTTCAGGGAATGACAGGCTTTTAATTTAGAATGTGAAATTACAAACAACTGAGCCCTATTACCGTGTTTTTTCTTCTTTTTCTTTTTCCCCTTTGATTCTGTTTCAGCTTTCACATCAGCATCATGATCTACTTGTTCTTCTTGGTCCCTGTGGGGGGAAAAAAAGGAACTGATACCTTCATTATAAGAGAAAAAAACATCAAAACCTCATATTAAACAGAGCAATACTCACCCAACATCTGACTCCCTTGTCACAGATTTTAACTTCTTCTTTTTCTTCTTCCCTACATCATTATTCAAGGTAATATTTTGTGACCCAACACTTTTGTCTTCTTTCTCAGCCTTTGTTTTCTTCACAGTCGCTACTTCTTCCTGCTCTATCTGCTGCTGGTATTCATTCAGCAGGTGTTCCTCTGCATCTTCCACCTGGTTTTCTGCTGAACCCTCTGTGCTTCCTTTGATTTGTCCCTTTTTGCTTTTTCGTTTCAGTTCTTTTCCACCAGCACCAACATCTGGTTCCAAAGCCCTGCTGTCATCCTTGGAAGCATCTGGATCCTCCTGGATGTGGTCTGTGATGTCTTTAGGTGAATGCAGGGTAGGGAGACCCCTTTTACTCTTCCTCGTAGATTTTGATGTTGTAATCTCATCTTGGTTTTTGCTGTTGTTGATGTTAGCCTTTTCTCTTCTTTTGTTCTTGGTGTAACGAGGGCTGCCCTGTTCAGGATCATAGGTGTTCTGCAGAATGGTCTCATCATCTTCTGTGTTCTTTTCAAGGTTAAGATTCTTTCTGAGACTCTGAAGCTGAAAACAGACAGAGAGCACCAAACGGATATTATATGCTTTACAAGTTCTTCTTTGTTTAACCTCCCTGCTGGCTCTGAGTCAAAATGACCCATGAGGCAAGATAAATGCTAGATGACTTTCATAAAGATGAAACAGAGGTTGTGAAGCCAAAAGAAGCAGAATTTTACCTAATCACCAGAAGAAGAGAAACACTAGCTAATAAAAGAAGCAAAGCCTACCCAAAGTCTGAATGTAGCAAAAATAAATAGCTAAAAGTATCAAAAAGATACAAAACAGTAGAAAAAAACTAAATGCAATAGAAGAGTAGCAGAAGAACAAAAAAACAGAGCCAGATCACAGAAGAGATTCTACAATGCTTTTGAAGGAATTACAAAATTTGTACATTTTCTGAGAAAAATATTCATAATTACAGAAAAATCTTAAAGACCTAAAAGTTATAAAGACTAAAAGTTATATCACCTATCTTCTGAATCAGGTGGGTGATTTATTAAAGGCTAAAATTGAACAAATTATGCACAAATAGTTTGAATCAAAAATCTGTACAGAAAAATTAAAGAAAACAGGAAAACAACCAAACAAATGCTGTGGTCCTATATGAGGTATATTGACCTGAGGTGTTACCTCGTGTCTTTTCATGGTCAGAGTGAGCAGCCAACTTATGTGGGGGGAGGACTGTGCATCATGCAGGAAAAGCTGTGTTTCTGAGTCTGAGTTTGTGAAAGGAGAAATGCATCATCTGCTGAAATTAAGAGGGATAGTGTTTATAATTTGAAGGGACTGGAAATGTTTGTAAAGCCAAAAATTAGAACAAATTTGAAGGAGCGATGCAGCTCTGTCCGAGGAATTCAACTGTGGAACAACTTGGACAATGACCTTAAAAATGCTGGAACAATTTATTCAGTTGGTAGAAAGCTTAAAAGTTTTTTTATGAGATATGTGTATTGGTTGAAATTGAGATTTCTGTTGTGATGTTGTTTTGTTGATTATTTTAAGCTATACTGTGAAAGTTGAGTTTAATTTCTGCGTGCTGTATGTTTTGTAGGTACATATTTTTTAATGGGGGCATATGTTACAAGATTGTTTTCTTCTTTCTGCTCCTTTTCATTTGACCATGCTGTGTTGTGTTTTTTTCTTTTTGACGCAACATTATTATTATTATTTGTATTTTAATTCATGTTCGAATGAAATAAAGTATTAAAACATTTAAATAATGGTGGGTTTGTTGTTCCTTCTTAGGAAACTGTCTGTGCTGAGCGGGGGCGTAGGAATGAGTTTACTATTGGGGGAGGGGACATAATATTGGAAACCTGAAAGATTCATAAATTTTCTGTGCAGAAATGTGTCATAAATTAACTACACTGCAAAACATTCACAAAATGTGTTTTGAACTTTAATTTTCTTCCTTTTTCAAATGTTTCTTGGAAAATAGTGTTGTGGGCAAACCACCCAATAAAAAGGCTTTAATGGGGCTGAATAATTCTGTATATTGTGAAAATATCATCACAATCTAACTGTGCACAATATTTATATTGTAAAGGACTGCTTGGAGTGCAGTAATTGTTGACTAATGTATTTAAAGAGTTTTGAAGTTGTACTTTTCTTGTTAGCTATTTATTGTCATTTTTCACTTCGCACAGTCAAGATATTAACAAATAGTGAGAAATACCTTGGTAAGAATTTTCCTCATAACCTTGAGTATGAAATATGTAGGAAATGAGCTTAGGATGTAATAAGCTTTTCCCACATCTCTCATACTCAAGGTTATGAGGAAAATTCTTGCCAAGGTATTTCTCACTATTTGTTAATATCTTGACTGTGCGAAGTGAAAAATGACACAATAAGTGGAATGCTTAGACGAGTTTAATTTGTTAATAATGACTATGCAATCATTTATTTACATAAATTAAACAAATCATCAGTTACACCTGATTGTGGGTATTTCATTTCCTATACAAGCATCAGAATTAATGAGATAAAACCCGCGTCCAAATTTCAATTCACATCAACTCAGCTTACTTATAATAAGACAGTAAAACGTTAGTTCTGCTGTTAAACAACCAAATAATTTTACTGGCACTTTTAGCTTAAGTTTTGGCAAATCAAAGAAATAAGAAAGAGGAGAAAAGTAATGTTAGTGTTTCTGCTACTTTTACTTTTACCAAAGTGTGGGTCAACCGGAACTGCACGACTTTTCTTGACTCAGGTCCACAATACACGTCACTCCAAACACATCATCTTTTACCTGATGATGACTTTTTAAGACACCCTCGAAGTAGAAAAACTGGCTCGCCTCCGATCAGTCAGTGAACTGTTGTCGGCTCGCTTACCGGTCATTGGCGAACAGGTGTTATTTTCAGGTAACTTTGTGTTTGTTTCAGTCCAAGACAGAAAAATTCAAGCCGTATCTGGTTTCTCCTTCAGAATAAAACATCTCCCCATCGGGAGGTACAAAACACACTTGGAGGCTTGAAGCCTCGGGCTGGAACACCGACAGGCCTGTCGGGTCCCTGGCTGTAAAATCTCCCTAATTGGCTCGTGGGATTAGATTTTACAGCCCCAGGGCTGAGATTTCTCTGAAGAGAATCACAACCGCCTTCCTTCTTTGAGTTAGGAAGCCAGAGTGTCCTCAAAGCCGTCCGGGTTAGTAATAAGAATGGACAAACTTTGGTTCCGCCCTCAGGCTTAGAGATGAGTCAGAGAAGAAAGATAGAGACTTGCCAGCCAGGTGCGAGTCAAGGTTAAATTCTGTGGTTGTTCAACAACATCATGATAACCTCTTTAGCCTTCTTCTGATAGACTCTAAAAGAAATCACTGCAAAACATTAATGGTGATTAACTATAACATTTCTGTTTATAATCAGCTATGAACCATTCTTTTAGTCCAGATAAATGAAAGATTTTCTCAAGAAAAAATCCACAATTATATTACTGTGTTCACAGTAAAATAAAAACAGTGATTTACATAAAAACACAATGAAAACATTGTAATCAGATTCTCTGTGATTTTTTATACCATTACAAATCTTTAAGGCACGATAAAAGAAAAGGAGTCGTTCTACATTTCCTGTGACAGTCATTATCATGATTTAACAAATGCATAAATATTCTTAGTTAAACGACAAATGAATCACGAACAGAAGAGATTGTTCTGTCCATTATCTGATTAAGAGAACTGAKDRRTTCTCTTCCACGGTTAGAATGACCTGTCATGGCCTAAATAGAGTTTAGTTTGTGACAGAGTTCCTGTCCTCTCGTCAGGCCTGTCCGAGGCCTGCTTCGAGGCATAAAATCTTGTTTCTTCACTCAAGGTGACCCCTACAGCTTGTAGGACAGACTCTCAGCAGCAAAGGTTCACATCAGACACAAATGACTTTGCCAAAAATACTAAAAGCCACATAGACTAGGAAGTTTAGATTAGATTAGTTCAGATTAGAGAGAAAGAAGAGAAAAAAATTAATTCACACCTGGTATCATCATTGCAATTTTTACAAATATTACTGCCATCACAAGATTTTCTAATATCAAATATCTGTTCTGTGCTCCTCTCTTACCTGATGGTCTGCTCCTGCCTCTCCCTCACTCTTCCTGCCTCTGATGTGCCTGCATGGCATCAACATGTTTACAACAGAGAACACTACATGTAATGTACAGCACCAGCAAGTGACTTACAGAAGATAAAAAAAGGTTTTTATCATACAGATATTTAAACAACTGATTAACAGATGTATACATCTCGTATGCTATCAAACACTTACAATAAGTTTTGAAATGAAAAAAAACTGACCCTGACATCAGTCCTTAGCTGTTCTTTCTGGATCTAATATAAACCTGACCTCACACACTGAAACTCCACCTGACTCTCCTTTCTTTTCTCTGAACCAGTTCTTCTCATAATAAAAAATTTTTGTTTAAAAAGTAATAAATATATATTTCACTAATTTAAACCTTGCCTGAGCTTCCTCCACCTTTCATTGCTTCAAATGTCTCACTACTGTAGTGGTAACCCCCTTACCTCACCTCACCTCACCTCGTCTCACCACTGGTTGACCTTTAAACCTGAGGTCAAACCTCTCCTCTCCTCAGACTGAACTATTTCAGCTCTGCTGAAGAGCTATGAAAAAATAAAAGCTTTCCTTTGCCTCTCCTTTCCTCTGAGAGAGAAACACGGTTTCTCTTCCCATAGAGATTTGCTCTTTGTTGATAAAACAAAAATAAAATAAACAAACCTTCTCCTGTTACTGTTTTCTCTAAACGTGTATAATTCAAATGTTTCTACGCTTTAAAATGTTTGATTTTGTCTTTATTTTTAAGGGCTCTCTAATTTAGCTTATAACAAATCTGCATTTCTTGTTTTGAACATGTTTAGACATTTATGAGTTAATGATAACAATACATATATCTTTGTCAATGCTCATATTTTATTCTTTTGTTTCTTTTGTTTTTGATAAGCATTACTTAATCATTTTTAATAGTCTGCCTAGGCAGTGTTTATAGTTAACCATTAGTTAATTAGAATATTAAGAATGTTCTTTAAGAGTTGAATTACTTTTACTTCTGCTAACAAAATGTTCATGTGTCACATTCTGATTATTGCTTGGGTTCCCATGCGAACTTGCACCTGCAAGATAAACACCATTCACTCGCACACTCCTACACTTCTTTCTTTCCTATGAGAACACAGCTCGCTGTGTGTCTTTATAAAACCTCTGTTTTGCTCTGTTCTGTCTGTGCCTTCGCCCTGCTGGGTCAGGGGACGCCGGTCGTCCCCCAGCCTCTTTGCTTTCTTTATCTTTCCAATTCCTTTCCTTTTTGTTGCAGCATATTTTTCCTTTTCAATTTTACAAGGAAACATACGACGGCATAATAGGGTCACTTTGCAGATGAAAAAAAAGGAGCTAATCTCTGAGAAAAAACTCAGAATTTCTGAGATTAATTTCAGAAATTTTCGAGAAAAAACAGGCAATTATTTTATGTTGAAAAGTTGCAATTTCGCTAGA